AAATTAATATATCATCAAAGAAAACCAAAACAAACATCCTCAAGTATGGTCCAAAAAGCTCATTCATTAGAGATTGAAATGTAGTTGGGCATTCGTAAGACCAATTAGCATGACTTTGAATTCAAAATGGGTGTGGTGAGTTTAAAAGTAGTTTTTTTTATATCATCTTCCTTAATTCGGATCTGGTAATAGTCAAAAATATTTAACCCCTAATAATTCATCTAATAAATCCTCGACAACAAGAATGGAAAACTTATTTTTAATGGTCATAGCTATTTTGTGTGGAAAACATTACCCAACAGAATCATCGTTATGATCGATTTAATATCATAGTCAAAATTAAAAATCCCTAATATTGAATATTTAGTTAAATGTTGAAGTAAAATTTTAATATATTTTTAGATAAATTATGTAAAATTTAATATTAATATTAATTAAAATTAAAATAATACATTATATATTTAGATAATAAAATAATATATCATCGATGAATTTTTATTTAAATATATTATCGATGAATTTTTATATAAATAATTTTTATTTAAGTATTTAGAATTTCACTTGTTAAAAAATATAGAACAAGGATAATTTGGTAAAATATACATTCCAGTAATCTTTTATTCCTTCAACCAAACATTGTAATCTTACATTCCTGCCAAACCAACCAAACACAGTAATGTAACATTCCCAGTAATCCTATTCCCTGATAATCTTTTATTCCCACTGGTAATCTTACATTCCGTGAACCAAACGCACCCTAGTGGGAATAAAAGATTACCAGGGAATAGGATTACTTGGAATGTTGTATTTTATGTTTGGTTGGTTTAGCAGGAATGTAAGATTACCGTGTTTGGTTAAAGAAATAAAAGATTATTGGAATGTATATTTGATCAAATTGTCCTTATTATATATTTGTATAATATTACAAATTATAAAATATTTATATATTTTCTTTAAAAAATTAAATTCATAATATTTATATAATTTTTTTACAAAATTAAAAAAATAAAAAAGGTTTAATGAAAGGATAAAAAAAAATTTAACCTCTAAACTTCATATAAAATTTTAATTATAGATTTTTTTGTAAATCTAAAATAATATAATGATAAATTTGTAATTTAACCTTCGTAAAATTTTTATTTTTCAATGACAGAAAAATGATATTTTTGAAAAAAAATAAAAATTTAAGAACATTTTAGTCCAAAACGCCGGTAATGTTACAATACCTAAGGGAAGGGAGGTAATGACATTCCCGGTAATATGTCCCAAAAAATCTACTATTAGTAATAAAATATTACCAGGAATGAGATTCCCGGCCAACCAAACATAGGAGTGTGGGATTCTCATCCCATAATCTTTGAACCAAACATCCCTTTAGAGACAGATTCAGTGCAGTTGACGCCGGTGCAGTGACAGACGCGGCGTAGCAACGCCACTTGCCCTCAACCCACCTGTACCCAACTAATATTTTTGAGCTAGTACAAACCCACAGCCGGGATCACGAGCAAGAGGGGAAAAAAAGAGAAAAGATTATTGTTTGCTACCAAAGATTTTCACTTTAGATCCGGGACGTTGACAGCTCCAAACCTTAGTTTCCTTAATTAAAAAAAAAAGCATATATTTGCTTAGGGAAGTGATGTATAGATATGAGCTGCAACTGTGCGGCCGGGCTATGCTGCTGTCCTAATATCTGCCTACTTGAACAGACCGTCACCTCAAATCTTGTCCCATTGGACGCATTTATTCACTCTATGTTTTACGTTAAAAGCTTTTTTTGATGTTGGGTCTCGAGCAAATGATGTGAAATACGTTTAGCAAGTGATACTTTTTCTGCCTCTGCTGCCTAGTTGAAAATAGGGGTTCTTGTACGGGAGCAGAGCTTGCTGCCCTTAACTTGCATTGAATGACAGCGAAGCAAGAGACAAAAATTTTGCAATTAATGAATGAGGCTGAGGAGGATGCAGCACTAAATGCCAGGTTGTGAGAAGGAACCATGCCTGGTAAACTGGGACCTAGCCCTTTTGCTACTTTATTCGTTTGCCATGCACATCAAACACCCAGATTTCAAAACTCAAAATGAAACAAAGAAATGCACAATGTAATAGCTTAAATTGGTGTATCAATCAATGGCCCCTCCTGTTCAAGTATTGCCTGGTTTAGGTGGACTTTCATCAACATCAAGTGTTCAAGTTTGAGCCCAAAAAAGCAGGAAGAAATAAAACATCAGAAAAGTGGGAAGAATCTTCTTCAAATTGGTTTTGTAAATGGATGCTGTTTCACAATGTCCTTCCAGGTTCAAATGAAAAATCTGAAAATGTACAAGTCCCAATCAGAGGCAGGCAGAAGGGTAGAGAATTAGCCTGTAGTTTTTAAGGTCTCCTCAGCAGGAACAAGACTCCTCCACACAGGACATCATCTATCCTTTCCCTTTCAATGTATTGGACACATCCTCGAATATTTGGTAAAATCAACGAGATAATGCGTTGAAATTTTTTTTTCACGAGATAGTGCCCTCGCCAGATTAATTGCTTAGATGGGGTGATCTCTACAGTCCTCATATAGGTCGCCATGCACGCCCAGCGACCTACCAGGTCACCATGCAATCCATGCAGCCCCCAAAGGTCGCCATGCACGTCCCAACACGCTGGGCATCCGAGGCCATCCGACCGAGGCCATCCGAAAGCATCTGATGCCATCCGAGAGCATCCGAGGCATCCGAACGAGCTATGTGAGGGCATCCGAATGAGCTATGCGAGGACATCCGAGGGCAACCGAGCGAGCTATGCGAGGGAATCCGAGCAACCGAGCGAGGGTAGGTCGCCCAGAGTACATGGCGACCTACCCTCGCTCGTTGCCCTCGGATTCCCTCGCATAGCTCGCTCGGTTGCCCTCCGATGCCCTCGCATAGCTCGTTCGGATGGCCTCGGTCGGATGGCCTCGGATGCCCAGCGTGTTGGGGCGTGCATGGCGACCAGGTAGGTCGCTGGGCGTGCATGGCGACCTGGTAGGTCGTTGGGCGTGCATGGCGACCTACCCCCAGGGACGTGGGACTGTAGAGATCACCCTATCTGAGCAATTAATCTGGCGAGGGCACTATCTCGTGAAAAAAAAAATTCAACGCATTATCTCGTTGATTTTGCCGGAATATTTACGTAGTTATTTTGATGATTTATGTTTTTAAGGCTCCATCAACGTCACTTATATTACGGGTGTAGTTTTCTACCATTGAATTATATAGTTTTTGACAAATTACAGCATTATTACTATAATTTCATTTATATAATGGGACTTTAATAATTTGTGTATGATACTTATCTCACATCCGAAATTTAAAAGAAATAAATTGTTGTTTTCATTTATCAACAAGTAGTTGGTCACTTATTTACCAATGCGGGAGATTTATGGAGTTGGAGCGTTTCAAAATTTGGGACCACTACTTGTCTGAAAAACATCCATCTTATTATATAAAAAACATTAAAAATTCTTTTTTTTTTATAAAGAACGAGTTTGGACCATTCAGAAATATGTGCATGGTCCAATAGGTGACAATGTGATACTTCAATTGTCCTTGAATGCTAAGGGACAGGTTCAAAAAATTAGGTGTATTAACCAAGGCTGAAAGATAATAGAAACATGTTTATAACCCAAATGTATTTGTGCCTTTCAGTGTACCTTTAATAACATGTCTGCTACTTTTAGTTCTCAAAATTCTACCACTCTACTGCAAACCCAGTGCTGGTTTCAGCTTGTGAATTAATTAGAATGTATGATCCAGCTCGTGCGCAGCTAAGAATAAGATTATTAACCCATGACTGCTTTTCGTAATACGTTCCAACTTTGATTTCACAATTCCAAGCTGGCATGTAATCATATTTGTTGACTAAATTCAAAGGAGGGACCTCAACTTTTAAGAAATTCATATTCAATGTTTTTTAACTTTCTTTCCTTTTTGTGCTAGCTTTTCAATCTTTTTGACCATCAATCGCCCCCGCTGTGTCACCCTTTTGCTTTCCTAGGGTTTGTTAGTGTGTTCCCCTTTAGACCTACCTCCTTTTTTTTACTAATTTCTTAATGTTTTTTTTCCATGTCTTGAATTAATTCCTGTTGACATTTTATGACACCCTTTTTCTTCAAAAAGTAACGTGATTTTCTTCGTGTAGGGCTAAATCCGAAATGCAAACCACCAAATTTCCAGTTAATAACATCATTAACCAAGTGGCAATAAACCAACAATTCTTTCTATGTTCCTTCAACGGTTAGTTGCTTTTAATTCAATATTGTTGAAGCATTTGCATATAAAGCTATTATGAAATGCATGTTTTCACATATATCAAATAATTATCCTCCAACACAATAACAGATAAGTTGATGAAGTGTGCAAAGTTATGAATTAAATAATGGCTCCAGCTTGTTGTGGCACATATCCTTGTCACTGCAGCAACTTAATCGTCAAGATTGTAATCCAACCCGGCCCCATACGAATCACTGATTCATCGCTACTGCAGTGTTCATATACAACAGATAGAGAAAAGACACCAACTTTGTCCGCACTTGCACATGCCCTAGCTTGTTATCATCTTTGATTTTACACTCTACATTAAGGAATTATGAAGAAGAAGAAAAGGCTAAAGGGAAGTTTGACAATAATGTCCTCAGTCCTTCACAAAGATGATATATTGCATGCAATAGGAGCAGACAGTCTTTTCCTTTCCTTTTTGAAACTATGAAGTGGGAATGTTCGTTTTCCTTTGTGGAAAGCTGAAAATAAAACAATGAATTGTAATGATGGTTTGAGGATAAAGTTGAGAGATTGGTATGATATTATGGTCAAAATAAGCTCCCCTTTTACATTATTGTGAAGCATTGAGCTGGTTTTGTACTTTGCAGCTCCCTTATGAAGCAGAAAAGCAGGATCGACTATTACATCATTTCATGGAATTTAAGCATCAGCCCTCCCTTAATTCCCTTCCCTCCATTTTTTATGGTCTTTCATTCAAAGATAAGCCAAAAGGTAACGCTTTAAAAAAGAAGGTTCCTTACAATTTGGTTACCATACAGATAATTGGTCCCCACCCTTGTATTTCATTAATCCCATATTCCCTCCAAAAACTGGACCTGGAAAAGACATAATCAAAATCTAGCTTTTCCCGCTATTCCATCAAGTTCTTAACTTTTTCTTGCCCATGCAAAACTTCCCGTGTTTGCATTAACAGTAGACAAGGGTATTTTTAGGTTTCAGTCCAGGCAGCAAATAGAGGTAAGTGAGCCATTGAGACAGCACCGGGACGTATCGGTGCCGAGGGGAACCAACTAACACCATTTGTTGGACTAACCAACTTTGATGCCGAGGGTGGCTTAGCAAAGTGTACTGTGGAGCCTGTTTTATCTGGGTTGCCTTCTCTAGAGTTGCTTCCGCTGGTCACTAAAGAAGACGAGTTAGAATAATGAGCTCCTAGCCTGGCGGACCCATCCACCATTGGCTGGCTAGAGCTCACAGAATCGACTCCCATGACATCATGCATGGCCAGCGGGAAAGTGGGATTTCGATAGCTTTCATTACATGCAGACTTGTTGTGTTCGATCAACTCGACACCATCAACAATTGGTACTGGCTGTGGAGAGGCCATCTTCCAATCTGGAGCATTCCCATGGTTGACTTGGGGTTGAATGGTCTCACCATTGGTTCGCATGGGTATATTGTAATCACCAGCCTCGTTGTAATCTTTTTCTTTGTTTCGCCTAGCTAATTCACCAGCAAGCAGAGTATTGCTGGCCATGATCCTTTCAACGTCGTATTTGGTGATTTCGAAGTTCGTCACGGCATTTACACCCCGAAACTTGATTGCAGCAATGTCATAGGCTTCAGCTGCTTCCTCTTGGGTGCCTAAAATGAAGATACGCTATTAATCAAGTATTTTAGACAGAATATTTTGTTTGCCCATCTTTATCAGCTCACTAGAAAAGCATTCTTAAAGAAATTTTAATCAGCCTTATAAAAGCATCACAGTTGTCTAAGTAACATAAATGTACAGAGATGTCATAACATGGAGCACCTTAAAGCTCTTTATGAGACTGGAAAAGCCAAAAAATTGAACTAGGAATGATGACAAGGACAAATGAAGAAGACAATTTCAAACAGATTAAAGGAAAAAAATAATCTTGCAGCATACTATAAGCTATTGAGAACTTACTGAATGTTCCTAGATAAAGGTCCTTGTTTCCAGCAACCCTGCCAATGCGAGCTTGCCATCTTCCATGCTGATGATGTCTACACACACACAAATGACATGGAATCTTCATTAAATCGCACAAAAAATAGAATAAAAAGATGAGGTCAACGGTGATAAAACCTTGTAACTCCTCTGAACATTGAGGCCCCTCTTGAGAACCCACTACTTTTCCTGTAAACAAATGGAGATTTGAACTTATCATCAACAAAAATTGAATTTGGATGAAAATCAGAAACCAACCTCCTTAAATGGGCAACATATTCCTGGCAATTCATGTTCTTCATTTCCTGCAATTCTTCACGGTAACTTCCAAGCTGCCAGGCAGAAAAAAAACTTACTTACAATGCAATTTTGAGTACTTAAAATGATTGAATATAAGTTTCCAATGATTCGACTCACAGAAAAATTTATATGCGTCGAAGGTCCCCAATATTTAAGAGCAGCAAGATCATAAGCCCTGGCAGCTTTCTCCTCCATATCATAACCCCCTGAAATTAATTTGGAAGTGGATTAAAATAGAATTTTATAAATGTTGGTCAACAATTAAGAAAATGCTTACCAAGATAAACTTAAAATGCACGAGTTGATTCAAAAGCATCCAAGAGAAGCACGAACATGACAAGGAGGAATTAATAAGACGAGTCAGGTCATTAAGACAGATGGACCAACAATTGCAGTCAAAAGAACAAATGCTTCCAATTAGATACAGTAAATGTGTTTGGTTTTGGCTATAAACAAACCTTGTCTCCCTTTCCTGGTTTGCCCTTCCTTCTTGCAACTGTTGTCCCAAAGATGAGCTTCATATCTACCCGTCCATCTATGCCTGGTGGTCGAATTTCGAAAGAGTGAATGGTAGAGCATAATTGAAAGAATCACGAGTAAACTGTATCAATGGCAAGAGTTTTAACTGACCTTGTGACACCCCGATACTGGGATGTTCTTTGTCCAAAAGTGTCAATGGACTTCCTATGAACAGTTTGCTTTTGACCCACCTTTCTAGACCCTCTTTTCTTTGTTTCCACTGCCACACATTCAGCGGCAGCTGGCGAGATCTGCCTTGGAGCTGTAACGCAACTGGACTGAGAACCAGGACTCATTGACAAACTAAGGGACTGCAAGTCCCCACAACCCATTGAACCAACAGAGCCGGAAGCTGCTCCATCATCAACCATGCTACTAGTCATATGTTGCTCTATTGAACTATGGGTAGAATAGTGCCCAGCTACCCAGTTTTTAAAACAAGGCATTGTTTCTTCTCCCATTTGAGGAATCTGAGAATCACAATCTACGAGTTGGGTATCCTTGGTTTCTTCCCCCAATGGCAACTGGTACATGCCTTGGCAGGCCAGTCCTGAAAAGTACGGGTGAGTTTGAACCCCGAACTCTTGCTCTTGCTCTCTAAAGGGTTCTTGGAGAAGGTCCAGGGAATGATGGCGGTTGTGTTGCTGGTTCGCATTTTGGTGGTAGTACATGCTGTCTAAGCTCAGACGCATTGTTTCTCGTTGGTGGCTTCCATATTGATGAGGTTCCATGGTAGCACCACCCAGAAAATCGTCCAGTTTTGGAGACGAAGTAGGCACAATACCTTAAAACAAAATAAGCATTGAAAAATACAAGGGTTAGGACAACTATAATATCAAGTAAGAAGCTTGGGGGGAAATGATTAAGAAAACCTTCAGACTGCGATCTATTGCAGAGAGCTTCCATGATGCATAGAGACCCATCTGACTTAAGTGGCATAACAGACAAAGGAGCGTGATAACCTCCACTATCACCAATTCCATAGCAGATTCCGGAACCATTGAGGTGAGAAGACAAGTAGAAGCTTGTAGGAACAGCGTTAGGTACATCGGCTTCAGCTGCAGAAGCTTGACCATGATGAATGTGTTGGGGATCGGTGGACAGCTCCATTTTCATGTGGGGTGAAAGAGAGAAACCCAGCCAGTTACTATTGCTGCCATTGCTATTGTCGTTCGGAGACTTCATCTTCTTCTCTCTCTCTCTTGCTTTTCTGACCTCAGAAGTTTCGAGCACTTATATTCCTCTAGCTGCAAGGCAACTCAATCATTGAAGCGAAAATAAGCTAATCATACCGAAAATCACTTGCCTCCTTCCCAACATTTTCCATGCACAACAAAACTATTCTCTTTAAAATAAAAAATAAACTTGATCCGGCAATGCTGCGAATATATAGTCTCTTTGCCCACTTTTTTTTTTTTTTTTCCTTCAATAGTCTCCTCATAAACCCCACAAAAATCTCGGATATAAAACATAACACCAAGAACCCTTTTGCATAAACTAACAAAAACTCACATGGGTTTCTCAGATGCTCCCATATAAACTCATCTCCTTTTACTCAGAAAAGTGAGAAATAATGACATACTTGGCTTGAATATTTTGAAAGCAAAAACTAGAGAGTTGAATAAGTGGGCAGTAGGGAAAAGGCGTGGTCAGAGAACCAAAACTGGGCGGCCTTAATATATTTACAGTCACAGTCCCTTGGATAGATTTGAAAGGAAACACACTGCCCATCCAGTCACTTCATACAGTACACCCTCTTGTGCCACTCTACAAACCGAAGAGGGTCAATTTTACACAATTTACCTCTCATACATTATTCATTTAAATATTATCGATTTAACGTTCTTTTGATAAATCAATAATTATAAGGTGTGCTTTCAAAGCATTTTGTCCGAGTTAATGCTATGGTGAAAAAGCGTAAATCGTGAAACATGTTTTCGTTAGGTTTTGTCTAAGCTAGTGACACACAGTAAAGACACGAATCATAAAGTACGTCTTCGTTTAAAAATCTAACACGTACTGGAAGGCGCGAGTTATGTGGTGTGCCTTTCATTATTTACGAATTATTGTACACTCTATTATTAATTGAGTTAACTCGGCTACATATCCATCTCCCTTATAAATACTCCTAAATGTAAATATCAAAACACACCAAAATTACTTTCACATTCTTCTTTCTATCAAACTAAGTAGATTTTGTTATAGTTTTTAGAAGGTAAAATTATTTTTTATTATATTATATTATATTTATGATATATTTAATTATTTAACTAAAATTTATTATACTAATTATTTTGTATTATTTTTTGTAGTTGTAAAATGGAAGATGTGATCATATACATTTTACCAATACAGTAACAATATTAAATTATTTATTTAAATTGTTGTGAATTGTTTTTATTTTTTTAGCATTAGATTATATTTTAATTCATATATTAGTTATTTAATTAGGTGTATTTCAGCTATTATTTTTGTAGATATAAGACTCTCATTCTTTCAATCTCTTAAAATAAGATGTATTTCAGCTATTATTTGACATGATGAAAAAACTTGAAGATGAAATCGACGTTGTCTTCACATAAAATCATTCAATCAGAATATCCTTCAAGAGAAACATCACCCTTGATGAGTTTATCACTAAAATTTCAAGGAATATTCATGTTGGAAGTACTAGAATATTGCTCTCACTTTAGTACAGATTTCTAACTACTATTTACGTTAACTTATACAACGTTCGAACTCTTAAACGATGACGATGTTGCTATGATGTTTGATGCTCAGAATAAAAATTTAGACGCTGATACACGAATGTATGCCACATTTGTTGAAGTGTCTACGGTTCGTGGTATGTCATTATACTCCCACTATGGGCTGGCTCAACAAGCTGATCAAGTTGACAACCCAACTCAAGTAATGTGTAAAAAATTTAACCCGTGAATGAGAAATCCACATCCTGATATCATCCCATCAAGTTCAATAGGGAGATATTCATCAACAACTTGTTACGATCTCCACCAAAGTTGCTACACGAATAATCTGTATGGCAACATAGCTTCCAATTCAAGGGGAATGCATTCATCTACCAATTTCTTTAACCTAAATATGGAGATGCCCTCGACACATCAATCTATTCAGTACATATTTGACACGATGCCTACAATTTCCAAGGGGAGGCATTCAACTACGAGTTTCTTCAACCTCAATATGGAGATAAATACGATACAACACTCAGTTCAAAACATTATAACACGATGCCTTCAAGTTCAAGGGGAAAACATTGAACTACTAGCTTGTTCAACCTAAATATCGGCATCAAAGAGAACCCTCATCTCTACCAAAATAACCTCTTCGTGAGCCAAGTGTGGATGGTGCTAAGACTGGATTATTCGTTGAACCAGAATCACCGCAGTTCAACATGGACTCTGATGATAATGATGTAGATGAAGTTCCCACAAATACGGTACACACGGAACCTCCAGTACACATGTATGAAGCTAATTATGGTGTAATGTATGGGCCAAAATTTACGGATATGCATAATATTAGTGATTACAGATTTAACTCATCAGTCAATTATAGTGAGTTATATATCGAAATGGAGTTTTTATCCAAAGAAGAAGCGATGATTGCAATTAAGAATGACAACATTCGTAATTATGTTCACTCTAGAGTCGACCGATCCACTACCGAAAAATGAGTTTGCTATTGTATCCAACGTGATAATGAATGCAACTGGATAGATCATGTATCGAATATGAAAAGGAAAAACAACATAAGGGAATTAACAGTATACAAAAGTCCTCATACATGCTTTGATAGAGGGATCAACCAGGACTATCCCAACTTGGACTCCGACATTATCTGCCAAGCCACTATGCTCATGGTCAAAGCAAGCTCCCATATAGCTATTACAATGTTGATTTCAGCTATACAATCTCAATATGGGTACACCATCTCCTACAAGAAAGCATGGAAGGCAAAACAAAATGTCATTAAAAAACTTCACGACGAGTGGGATTCATCTTACAACAAACTACCAAGTTGGTTTAGGGTAATGCGTAGACTAAATCCTGGGACACCAGTAGACTTCGAAACTTGCTATGCATACCACAATGATCGAGTGTTTCGCGATCAATGCATATTTTACCGTCTTTTTTGGACTTACCCACAGTGCATTAATACTGTGAAATACTGCAAACCCATGATTCAAATTGATGGGACATTGTAGTATAGAAAATACAAGCAAGTTTTGCTATTGGTAGTTGTCTAAGATGATAATCGCAACATTTTTCCAATTGTTTTTGCCCTTGTTAAAGGAGAAGATACAAATTCTTGGTATTTTTTCCTAAAAAAACTTACGCTTACATGTTGTCATGAGGGGAAAATATGTGTCATTTCAGATCGCGGAGCTGAGATTAAAGCAGCAATTGAGTATTTTGGTCCAATATGGCAGCCACCCAATGTCTAATATCGGTATTGTATCTGACATATTACTGCATATTATCATGGAAAGTTCAAGAAGAATGATGAGCACCAATTACTTGTGCGTATGGGTGTGTCACAATGTCTAATTTCATTTCTCAATCATTTTCATTTTTTATGGGAACTTAACAGTAAGTACTACATTTGACGCTCAGGTTACGAACTATTACCTAAAAGTTTTAAGTCCATGCTTTAAGATTTACAAGGAAAAAAGAACAATGGTACAATCATCCTCATCAACAAAAAATATAGACAAATACATACAATGGTGGATATCGATATGGACACATGAAAACCAACTTGGTTGAGGCTATCAATTCAACCTTAAAGGGGGCGCCATTTACCAGTAACAGCTTTAGTTAAAATGACTTATTTTTCGTTCGAAGCGCTTTTTGCAAAGCTCAGGGGACAAGCTCTAACTTAGATACAAAACGACCATCTTATCACCCAAGATTAATTGTAGATCTACAAAAAAGAATTGTTGCATCAAATGGAATATCTGTAGCAAGCTTCTCCCGACCCATGAATTATTTCGTGTCATAGAAATACCACGACCTCTTCAAGGGATTGAATCTAACTCGTTCAGAGTTAATCTACAATATAGGTGGTGTGACTGTGGGTTTTTTCAAGCTTTGAAGTATCCATGCTCTTATGTCATAACAGCTTGCTCTTATAATAATTAAGACTATAACTGTTTTGTGGGTCATGTATACCGACTTTCAGAAGTATTTAAGGTATATGAATTTGAGTTCCACCCCATAGTAATGAAAAAGACCCAAATAAGGTTCAGAATTGGCTTCCGATTGTACCAGATCCTTCCTTATTAAGGGATGCAGGTTGACCAAAATTCACTCGAATTCATTGTGATATGGATATTCGCGAGACAACTAAAGAAAACAAAATATGTGGGTGATTAATGCTTAAATTGTGCATTATTTTGTGATTAATTACTCCTTTATTAGCTATTTTAAGTTGCTAACTTGGTCATTTTCGTTCATTTTCAATGCATGAGATTGTATTCCAGAAATGTTACTAAAACTAATTAAATGTGCAATTTTTTATTTTCTGGAATCATGACTGGATTAATGGGCATGACTTCGCTGATGTGGCATCCAGTCAGTAGCTTCTAGAAGGTTCAGTCAGCAAATTTAGTGGAACAGGAGAATCAACCGCATTTTTCAAATTTAAATTAGGATTTATTTTTAATTTTAGGAATTATCTTTTAGCTTGAATGTAATCTTTTCGGTTTTTTAGGACTATAAATACCCCATTGGGGTAAGCCTCAATTCATCATCGGGATCATTGAGATCATTCACTATTGAATTTTCTTGTTTCTTTCTTTAGTTTTATAAAGTTTTACTTTTCCTATTATTTTTCTTTAAAAGTTTTTCTTTTTAAATGTTAAGTATGATTTCTATCATACTTAGCTAATCTTTCTATAGCCAAAGGCTAAAGCGATGACTCGATTCTGAATCGTGAGAATCGAAAAGCACCTTATACCCTCTCGGGTTAAATTTTCAATTTTTTTGGAAACTAGATTGGTGGATAATCTTTTTTCAAATCAAAATGCTTTCACTTCAAAAATATATTTTGGCTTGGATGACGTTATGTTTTACCGTTGGGATTATAGAATCAATTGTTTCGAATTCCCTTGAACACATTTAGCGAATGGTACGCTAAGGGAAATTGGGATCTAGTTCGACTTTCATAGACAAAGCATAATTCAAGTCGAGTTTTTCCAAGCGCTTTTAAACTATTTTGAGTTAATAACGATAGTGGAAGTTAATACGAACAAGGATTGTGATTCCTAAAATAGATTTGGGAAAGTCAATCACCAAAGAGGAAAATGACCTACAAGGATTGAACCTTGCAGACTCAAACCGACATTTAACTGGAAGAAAAATCATAT